ACAATCCAGACTCTTTGACGGGGCTTTCATCACTCTGCTTGGGGTGCCGCTGGCAGAGAAACCTCATCTTGGTTCCTGTAGGGATTACCTCAGCTTAACCAGTCTTCCAACCAAGGTCACTTCCCTTCCAATGTGGCCTCCACGCAATCACCACTGGATTGGACCACAAAAGGCTGGCCACCTCAGTCCAGCTTGGGACAACTAGGAAGGGACTTCTAGGTCCAGAGGTCACCATGGAGTCCACCAAAGCTGTCCAAAGAAGCCCTGAGCTATAGCCCAGCTTCTGCCCGCACCAAGTCCTGCTCCCTGTCTTGCCCCCATGGGTTTTCTCTGTGTATTAACATAGTGAAGAACAATCATTGTGCCTGAGCCCAGTATTGTTCCACAATTATGTATGACAGTGGAATCCCCCATGTAGTTCAGAATGTGTTATGGTTCAAATCTCATATCATACCATATCATATCAACTCACCCTCCTGGCGTAACATGGCAGGTTCCATTGCTTTAGAAACATACAATAACAATATAAAGACCATATTTTTTAGTACACGCTTTACACCAGGCATTTCTCATGCATTCTCTCACTTGATTCACTCAGTGTCACGAAGTTTCCAGTCCTCCCTCCCGTTCACATCCCTGGTCAGCAGGAGGGCAGAAGGTACCCCAGCAGTCCAACTGTGTCCACAGCTGTCTCACAAGCTGTTCCAGTCCTGATGCAACAGGAGGACACCTGCTTGGTTCCAGTGGGCAGAAGGATAACCACTACTTGGACTCAGAGGAAGGCAATTTTCTGTCAAGACAAGCAGGAACTCTGGCAGGAGGATGGGCTTCACGGAGAGGTAGTGAGAACCCTACCCCCCAGAATATGCAATCTTCCACCAGGGCAATGAGAAATGTTAAGCTGAGTGATCAGAGAGGCCCCAGTCCTTGAAAGAAAGAATCATCTGATTCTACACCCTACATTCAAATCCCCAGCACCGCGCTGACTCAAAGCTTCCACTGACAAGGATTCCAGAACTGTGACCGGCACAGGAGCCCTGAACGGAAGTGCAGTCTGACCTGACTCTGGAACTCTGCCAGCCGCTGTGGGTGCCTCTGACCAGCCTGACCGCAGGGAGCCAGGCAGTGCAACCTATGCAGGTCCCTCCCTGTCCTGGCACCCTTGACTACAGCCCACCAGGTGCTTAACGGGTGCTGTGGGTAAGCACGGGAATGAATGCCAAGCAGCCTCAAGCGAGCACCCTACAGAGATGCAGCCTCCGGGGCGCCTCATCCCCTTGCCCGTACCCAGAATGAAAGGGGTGTGGGGCCACACCCCGGCAACTCCATGCATTGCCATCTGCATGCCAGCACCGGGCTCTGAGGACTCCTCCTTGGCTCACTGAATTATAGGACAGCTGGCCAGCACCGTTTTCAAGCTGTGACCTACCAATTGCCACCCTATCCCTGCAGCCAGCCTGGACCCGAAGCAACTCAAAGTTGCTCCCCCCCAAAAAAACACATGCCTGACTTCATGATACTTCAGCCACCCGTCAGATCAACACGGAGCATGCATTGGCTATGGACACACTGCAGCCTTTTAAGTTTAATATTCTCACCCGGAACTCGTCTGTTCATTTGACAAACAAGCATTGAGACAGGCCACATCGCAGGACCTCAGACAATCAGCACGTTTCTGTGTGCAGAGGGCCCCACTGAAAATGTTCTGGGTCCTGGGAGCCAGCTTGTCCTGGCCAAATAACAAACCCGCTGTTGGAGCCGTAGGCAGTGAGAGAACTTAGGGACAGGACTGGGTTCCAAAGAGACTTGATTTACAAACAAGGCGGGTTTGATCACAAGAAACACCCCACGCTGCCAATGTTCTGTTATCCCCTGAGCCGCCCCCATCCTCCGATTGCAGAGCCCCAGCCCAGGCCCCGTTTTGTTCTACTCCTCCGCTGCACCCCATGAATCCTGGCAACACAGGTGCTGTCTCTGTGTGCCTCACATGGCGGCCTCCTAGAAGCTCAATTCCCTCTCCCCATGCATGGGCCAGGCTTAGCCACCTGCTGCTAACAGAAAGCGGCTGACATCATGGTATGTGAGTGACTTCTAAAACTGTATGGTAGCAAAAAATATGGTGTGTGCATTTAAATGTTTAAAAATCACTACAGTAAAACACACGTTGCCGTTAATCTCCCTCAGAATACTCCTCCTCAACTCTAACACGCTCACCCCACCATTCTTGCCACTGTCTGAAGCAGCTCTGGAGGTCCCCTTTCACGAGGGTCTTTGTTTGTGCTGTCCTGGTTGCCTCAATGTCCTAATCGATTCAAAGCCTTTACTCTTCCTGGTCATTTTGACTTCAGGAAAGAGCTAGAAGCACCCAGGGCCAGACCCAGTGCACGGGGCGGATGAGGACACACCGTCAGTGTTTACCAGGATGGCGGCAGCAGTCACCGTCACCACACCGAGTCACTCTGTCCCGTCACTGAACTCCTCCAGGCCATCCCAGCTGCCTGTCTAGCTGGGGGCGCTCGCTGCCGGAGCTGGGGTCCACCCCGCCTCACCTCAACACCCCGCACGTCTCCCCAGCTCTCATCTCCGTCCACTCCACAGCTTCTCATTCTCCTCCTGTCCCAATACCTCTCTCCTTCTTTTGTTTTTCTCTCTCTCTGCTTCTTTCCTTTCCTTTCTTTTCTTTTCTCCCTCCTCTGCGAGTGTAATTCCTCAGACCTTACCTCCTTCACTGCATCCTGTGTAAAGATTCTCCCCCTCCAGCCTCCGGGCAAAGTTGGTGGAAAAAATGAATTTTTCATTTGTTTTTTCTATTATTCTGCTCCTGGACCCAGGAAAGTGGAACTGAGGTCCCTCGGTGTGTGACGGGAGGGATGACACACCTTGATCTCTGAGTTTTGTTTTGTCATTTCCCATAAAAGTAAAACTCTCTGTGACAGGCAGGCACCAGGCTGGGGAATGAGAGGCGGGAGCCGGAAGCCGTGTCCCGTGGCCTTGGCCCTGTGGCGTGACAGTCCGGGGAGACTGGGGAGGCTCCCCAGCTCTGGTCCCCAGTGGGAGGACAAGGACTGGCTAGGAAGCCTGCTAGGGGTTTCCACGATGCACAAGCTGGCAGTTAGGTCACCAGCTCAGGGTGCCAGCTACAGGCACGCTGGTGAGCACACACGTGCGTACACACATGCACACACACACACACACACGGAGGTCCTGTGTGGGCCTCCTCAGCACCCGGTAAGTTCTTATTTACTTACTGGATCAGCATCTAGGGCCCCAGCAGCCAGAGTAAAAGGATGGCATGGAAAATGGATCCCCAAATAAACATGTATGTCCTTCCTACCTCTGGCTGCAAAAGAGAAACTGAGTCAGGGTCAGCTCCCCTGAGTTTATTAGCCACTTACTTTGAGGGTGTCACAGCCCCTGCTCCCCCACTTCCCATAATGCACTGGGCCCGTGCCCCACCAGAGTGCCAGGCGATACCAGGCTCTGCACAGGGGGATGGGAAGGCCCTCGCCACGCCCCGGTTCCATTGGCCCTCTAGGGCTCAGGGTAACTACACCTGCAGCGCGGTTTCCTGGCCACCCTGCCCAGGCAAGCATCGGTCCTTCCCTGCCTCCTTGGCCGCTCCATCCCTCGGAGCTGTACCATGTATTAGGGTTACTCATCACCACACCTCCCCCCCCTAAAAGGCAAATCCCAAGCCCAGCATGGTAGCGCACCCTGGGAGACTGAGGCAGGAGGATCACAAATTTAAGCTCAACCTAGACAATTTTGTGATTCTATAGATCCTGTCTCAAAAAATTTTTTAAAAAAGGGATGGGCATGGAGGCGCACCCCTGTAATGTTAGCACTCAGGAGGCTGAAGCAGGAGCATCACTGTAAGTCTGAGGCCCTGTCTCAAAAAACAAAAACAAAAAAAAAGGGGGGGTAGGAATGTTGCTCATCAGAAAGGCCCTGGGTTCAATACCCAGTTTAAAAACCAAAAATAGGGCCAGGCATACAGTTCGGCAGGACAGCACCTGCCTGGCAAGTACAAGGTCCTGAGTTCAATTTCTGACACAAATAAATAAATAAGTAAATAACTGCAAAGCAGAGCCTGGGCTGCTGCTGCTCTCTGTAATATTTGTCACACCTGGTACAGTGCCTGGCACGTGCTGAACCAGTGGGAAACGTCCACTGAATGAATGCATTGAACACAGGCTGTGTACCGGGCCTCCTGAGATTAGCGGCCTCAGGGAAAAGCTATTTGCCCAAACGTGGGGCGCTGAACAAGACCTGACCTGAGTCGGGGCCCTGCATGCTCCGTCCACCCCGCGAAGCAGGACCTTCCCAGCCAGGTTTCTCGCCTTAACCAGGAGGCCCCTGACACAGCTTCCCCCAGCTGGCCCGCTACCCCCTTAAGCCAGACCCTGTCTCCTTTGGAGTAATAATTAAACTAACATATTCACCGGCTGGTTTTGTTCCCTGGATGTAATCTGCCCGGGCTCTGATTTGCATATTAAAAGCACTAATTAGCCCCTCCGCGTGCTCGGGCACGCAGAGCGCACCGACTGGTCACGGCGTCCCCGAGGACCGCGCCCCGGGCAGGACCGGATGGCGCCGCGCCCTGGGCGCACGCAGGCGGCCTTTGTTCCCAGCCTTGGGGACCAGACGCTCCCCGGCCTCGTCCCCGTGGCTCGGCTTCCCTTTGAAGCGTCGTGTTTGATCTGTTCGCGTGTCTGTCAGTCTTTGTTCTAACTCCTTTGGAGTGCAAGTTCCAGCCCCTCCTGGCCACGCCGAGGCCGGCCCCCGAGAGAGGGCGACCTCTCCAACCTGGGGCGCAGCGGCGAGCCCCAGCCCCACCTCCCGGGAGGGAAGGAGCAATTCCAGCGTGCGTGATCTTTAAATCACTCAAAGGCGGACTAATTGCGGTTACTACTTCCGCAAAAATAAAATCGGGGCTGCGGGCGCCGCGCTAGGGTGCGCGCGGAAAAGCTGTCCGCGCGTGCGCAGAGGGGACGCACGGGGTGGCAGTCACGGTCCAGGGGACGGCTGGGGGCCTCCGCTGTCCCTGGGCACAGACGCAAATCTCCATCCCGCGCCCCTGCCGGCTGCGGCCCGCACCCTTTCCCGGCCGCCAGGCGTCACGATCCGTGGTGGGGGAGACGCCCGGCAGGGAGAGGACCGTGACCCAGTATCCTCAGCCTAACTGCAGGGGTGAGCGGGCTTCGAAGGAAGGCGTGAGAAACGCGCGGGGGGAGGCCTCGGATCATCTGGGTGCCTGCGAGTCAGGACCGGACGGTGCGGTGTAGACGGAAGATTTCAGATGAGCTGGGTGACGCCCGTAATCCTAGCACCTCGAAAGGCTGAGGCAGGAAAATTGCAAGTCTAAACCCAACCTGAGCGACGTAGCGATTTAGGGAGACCGTTAATCAACAAATAGATAATACATAGACAGGTTCTGGGTTCCGTTCCCAGTACAGGAAGAAAAGAAAGAAGGAAGAGTCGGACAGACGGACAGACGGACAGACGGAGAGGGGAACGTGGAGCCAACAAACAATGCAAACTTTAGATTGGTGCAAGGTGCAGGAGCCTTAGGAGCCAGCCGAGCCCGCGACAGCCGCAGGGGAAAGGTGCCAGGGTGGCCCCTGGCCTGCCCTGGGCAGGGACGCTCCGGAGGGCCGGGATGAGAGGTGCTCGGCAAGCGCTGAGTTCCAGGTGACTCTGTGCTCCCCTTCGCTGGGCGGGCGGCACACAGCGCCCCCTGCAGGAGAGAGCTCCGTCGGTCGGCCACCCTGGGGAGGGGCGCGTGAGGGCGGCTGAGCGAAGCTGCACCTCCTGACTCCCCCGGCCCTGGGGCGCAGCTGGCCAGGGAGCCCACCAGGGGGCTTGCGGGGGCAGTAGTGCAGAGGGCTGGGGGTTTGGCTCAGATGGCGCTGCACGGGCTGGCGTCCAGGGGGCACCCACCTCCCCAGGAGAGGGCGTAGTGCTCTCTCCCTGCCTCCTGAATCAGGAGGGGGTCCCTGGAAAGGGACTAAACACCCCTGGGGAGAGAGGCCTAGGCCTGAACTTGGAAACGTGGTGTTGCAATTTACCAGCTCCTGGGCTGGGGTTTGGCTTCGGGGTGGAGTTACAGTTTAAAATGGGCAAGGTCCAGGGCGTATTTTCAGCACTCGAAAGTGACGACAAAACCCAATTTCCAAAGCCTGAAATTCTTTTAAATAAGTCTATGTGTGTGTGTGTGTGTGTATATATGAGCGCGCACGCGCCGGGGATGGAACTCACAACCTCGCACTTGCCAGGCAGGTGCTGTGTCACTGAGGTGTATCCCTGGCCTCCAAAGTCTGGAATTCTGCCAGGAGACTAAGGTTCCGGAAGCTACTTTTCAAGAATGCTAGGGTTTTCTCTAGGGAGTAGAATCTGTCCAGAAGGGAAACAAATCAATCTGTCGCTGATAAATTCCCCCCAGGGCAGGGCAGGCCACAGTGGGCAACCCCAGGGTGGAGCCCAGAAGCTGAGCCAGACAGCCTGGTCACATCCACTTCAGCTGAATACACCCTGCCCCTCCCACACACCTGCTAGAAAGATCTGCCCCCTGTGATAGGCAGGAAGGGGTGGAGCTCTGAGGGGCTTGGCCTGGAGGATCGCGGTTTGCAGGGGCCACCAAGGCCAGTTAGCTGTCACTGCGGTGGGCCGCCATAGCTATGACATCAGCGGTTTGTCTGTAGTACTGGGAAATGAACCCAGGCATTTGCCCTGAACTGCAGTCGAAGTCTGTTTTTTAATTTTTTATTTTGAGACAAGGTCTCATTAACCTGCCCAAACTGGGTTGCAATCTGTGATTGTCCTGCCTCGTCTGCCCAGAGCACTGAGGTCAGGGCTGTGCACCACCACATCCTGCTTTAGATCTGGTTGTAACCAGTCAGCGCACGGCTGGCACGCTCCTCTAAAGAGAGCTCAAAGCCCAGCAACCGTGCAAGCGCAGGACGCAGGTTGACAGCTGGGAGTGCATCTGGCCTTCCCTGGACTTGCAGCCGGAGAAGGCTAAGTCGAGTGGACTCTCACCACGTCAGACCCTGGGGGTGGGGGAGTCCTCAGCTCAGACAGAAGCTAGAAGACCTAGACGTGCACAGGGGCCCACAGGAGAGACGGGTGAAGACAAGATGGACCAGAGACCGAGGCCTTGCGATTTTAATTACTTCAGATCAGCCTCAGAAAGTCAGAACCTGCAGCCTGCTGCTGGCTCCCAAACGGAAGCAGAAGCAGCTCCAAGCACCGCCCTCGCAGGCCGGGCGAACATTTCGGGGCTGACACCGACAGTGGGACAACAATTTGCTGTAGACCGTGTTGCTGGCGCAATGGTGACCCGACCGCGTGCCGTGGGGTGAGGGGGGGGGCACCTGGCAGCCTAGAGGAGTGCAAGTAGAGGCCGAGCCAAAGCGAGTGTGGCCTCGGTGATGGTGCAGTGGGCACAGCCTGGCAGGCTCCGGGGCTTCTGGGCCGGCGCTGACCCCCTTAATGTTGACTTGGAGCCAGGCGACTAAGGCGCTGCAGGAAGCTCTCGCACCCCACACCTGGATGACACCAGCGCCTCAGGGTGGCCCTTACGAGGCTTCCTCGGAGATTACCGTGATCACCAAGGGCGCATGCGCAGAGGGTGAACGAAAGGCCTTGAAGGAGGCAGGAGGCCACCACGCCGAGAAGGGCCATAGAGTGGTGCAAACTGCTCCCAGCTTCTGTCCCCCTTTCCTCCTCCTCCCACCTTCCTCCCTGCTGGGTGATGAATCCAGGCAGGTCCTGCTGGGACTGCGGGCTGTTCTCCCTGGAAGGGACCTGTGACCCTGAGAGGGCCTGGGTCAGAGCCAGGAAGGGGGGAATCTTGCTGGTGGCCCAGGTTGGGCCAGGCTGATGACAGGTTTAAGACCACACAGTCAACACCGCTTGCCTCCCTGCAGGGGTTCAGTCTCCAACAGGGCAGAGGTGGGTGGGGTACAGTCCACCTCCAAGGGCACGGTTCCCAGGTTACCTCTGCCGCACCCTGCCAGTCTCAGAGTCACAAGGCCAGCCCAGGTGCAGGAGGTGGGGAAGCAGAGGCCACCTTATAACGAAAGGACCCACAGAATCCTGCAGTCCTGGGTGTCGGTCCCCTACACACTGCACAACTCAGCAGGTCCATTTCTGAGCCATCGCCTGGACCTAGAGAGACTCTCATGACCTGACAGTTATAAGAATGTTCACTATAGCACAGTGGTCATAGCAAAGCCACAAACAAAAATACCCTGGGGAGCAGGTGTACAGTGGCGGCTCAGGCACTGGAAAACCACACAGCATTTATTAATGAGCTGGATCTCTAGTGGCACTTGGATGAACCAAAGATTGTCCTGTTTGGGGAGATACAAGGTGCAGAACTAAAGGTACAGAGTGGTGTGACTTTTCAGAACAAATTTGATGTCATTTTTAATGGACACGTAATTGTTGGAAAAATTTATGATAAGACTACTATCTCTGAGACCACTGTGTGTGTGTACCTGTGTGTGTGTGTATGTAATATGTGTGTTTCTAGGACTCAAATCCAGGGCCTTGCACATGCTAAATAAGCACTCTACCACGAACTACATCCCCAGCCCTTTTTATTTTAGTTTGAAACAGTCTCACTACGATGCCCAGCCTGGGCTTGAATTTGCAATCCTCCTGCCTCAGCCTCTTGAGTGACTGGGATTCCAGGCAGGCAGCACCATGTCTGGCTAAAGATCCAGTGGGGTGTGGTGGCTTGTGCCTGTAATCCTAGCACTCGGGAGACTGAGGCAGGAGGATCATTTTGAGTTCGAGACCAGCCTGGGCTACAAAGTGAGCTCATGGCCAGCCTGAACTGCATAGAGACCCTGTCTCAGAAAGACAAAAAGAAAAAAAAAAATCTTAAGATCCTACACCTGAATGAGATCACTTGGTCTCTGTCTTTCTGAGTCTGTTTTATTTCTCTTAACGCTGTGCTGTGTAGCACTTGCACATGCATGTGTGTGTGACGGTGTCGAGGGGAATTGAAAGGCTCACGTCACAGGATAAGATCTGGTGCCACAGGGGTAAGTAGGTCACGAGGAAGAACCGGGCATCTTAGGAACTTTTCTCTCCCTGCTGGGACAAAATACCCAACACCCAAAGTGAGGGAAGGAAAGGTTTATTTAGCTCACAGTCTGTGGAGGTTTTGGTCCATAATCAGCTGGTCCAAAGCAGGGTGGCATAGCACTGGGGCAATGCTTCAAGGCTGCAGAAGACAGCAAAAGGGGCAAGACAAGCCTCTTCTTCTCTTACATTGTAAGCAGGTGGGTGTAGCTCACACCGTCTCCACACCCTTCTCTTGCACAGGATGAGGGTGTTTACCAAGTGAGGACCATGGCCTTTGCTGGAGTCACCTAGTTAAACCTCCAAACTCCAAACTGACACAATGTATCAACCATTACAAGTGGGGAAGCAGTGAGGGGGCTCAAAGAAAGCTGGGGGCAGGAGCCAGAGTCTGAGGGGAGTCCAGGTATCAAGCACTGCCTCTCAGTGCTTGGCCTCTGCTGACTTTTTTGTTGGGTTTTTTTTTTATTTTTTTATTTTGTTGGGTTTTTACTTTTTACTTTTTGGCCTTACTTTTTAAAGTATTGCCCACTTTGGTTATTCTCTGTGGTAGCTTCTCTGACTGTGGCCTTCATTGCCAGATAACAGTGGGGGTGGGGTGGTGTTTTAGACTCCTGGCTGTCATTGCCCTGATGGGGGGCTGTGGCTGCGGTCACCCGTTCACCAATTCAATCTGTGTTTGCTGGGTGCCGTCTCAATGGGATGCCCGCTGCCACGAGGTACACCAGGAGCCCACGTGCCCCGGCTTCTGCCCGGGGGAGGTCACCACTGTGGTCCACCTGCTGCAGCTTCCTGGATCCTTTGTTTCCCTGGGGACTCCATGGCCACGGTGCTGGCGGCCACGCACGGTTGGAAGATGTACACGAAGGAAGCCGAGCTTTCCAACCCCGTGGACCCCGCCGTGTACTTCTTGACCAAAGCTGCTATGGTGAGCAGGCTCTACCTCCCGGCTTTGAGCCCAGGGGTCCACAGGGGCACACTGCCCACTGCCTTTCTGGACCCTTCTGCCACTCCGTGGGACCACACATGCGGCATGGGGACGCATCCTCACTGACAGCCACTCAGGAGTCCTTTCCGCGGGGTCATGAGCGTGCGCTCTCCTGTCCAGCATGAAGACGGGCCAGGATTTGGAGCCTGGGGAAAGCAGAGTCACAGGAGGAGCCGTGACCACCCCACCTCGCCTCCCTCCGTCTGGCCCAGCAGGCCTGCACTTCCCGCCACATTGCCAGACGTGGCTGCAATCGCAGGTCTAAATGGCAGCAGGCTGGTGGCTGCAAGGTCCCCTGAGCTCTACAACTCCATCCACAGTGCTGGCACCAGGCTTCCCAGGCCGCTGTGTCCTCAGACCCTGCCACCCGCCGTGCAGCCCCTCCTGTTCTGGTGCCAGCCACCACTGCCCCTGCTGTGTATCACTCCTATGTCCCCCCTCTCTGCCCTTCCTTGGGCCCCAGCAGGCTCAAGCCGCCCCATCTCCAAGCTGGACACATGAATTTATTTTCAGTACTTAGGACCGAACCCAAGGCCTTCACGTGGAGCTACTTTCCTGGTCTTTTAAAAAAGTTTTTATTTAGAGACAGGGTCTTGCTAAGTAACTAAGTTGGCTGGGGTTGAAATTGTGATCCTCCTGTCTCAGCCTCCCAGAACACTAGGTTTACAAGCAGGCGCCACCTTGTCCTGCCTGGGTCACTAAACTTTCATCCCATGGAGTTTCTGTGGTCTAATTTCACCCGTCCTCAACTGCTGCCCCACACCACAGTGGGTGATTCTGCCATATCTCTCCCATCACTGGTGGCTGGTGCTATGGGCAGCCTGATATCTAACCTGTGTCCACACTGTTGAGTGTCAGGGAATTGATGAGGGGAAATACTATTCTCGCAGAGAATGCCAGGTCTCCTAGCAGCAGCAAATAAAAACTAAATCACCAGATTCATTCACAGCTCACACCCAGAGTAGGTCATGAATGGCACTGTGGGCCACATGAGCCCACGTGACAGTCTCCAGGGGCCAGACAAGGCCTTTGTTTGTTTGTTTGTAACAGGATCTTACTAGTCCAGGCTGGCGTTGAACTTGCAGAAACCTTCCTGCCTCAGCCTCCTGAATGCTAGAATTACAGGCATGCCCCACTAAGCCTGGCTAGACAAGATCTTATGGAAGAACTCAGGGTGGAGATAAGGGTTGTCCCCTTGCTGTCACATCCATAACCTGCAGTGGGCCTGCAGGGCCCGTTGTGAGCTGGCCTGGGGACCCCAGCCCTGTCCTACCACACACACACACACACACACACACACACACACACACGCATGCATGCATACAGACTCGCACATATGAATGTGCTCCCTCCAAACATGCCCAGCCACCATGTGGATGAGGGCAGGGGTCCCCCTGCTCCTCCACCCAGCCCCGTGCAACATCTCGCATCAAGAATCATGTCAATTTGCGAGCTCGCAAATCGGCACTTAGCTCGCATGCCAAAGTCCACAGTCCTAAGTTTCGGTGCCGGAAAGACATTGCTGGAAATAATTGTGCCTGGCAGCACTGGGGCCGCTTCCAAAAGCCGGCCGGTGGTGCAGCGCCCGCTGGATCTCCGCTCGCGCTGTGCGGCAGCCAGATGCCTCCATCTCCTGCCCAATTAATCTGGAATGCGTTGGACGGGGCTGGTGCACATTCTCGGCAACCTGCCCCGGAAAAGGGGACCACAAAGCCACTTCCTGTCCCTTCCGTCTTGGCCGCCCCTCCCCTGCACGGCTCACCCCGGGCCCCGCTGCTGCCAACCCCTACAGGTAGAGGGTACCAGCTTGTGGTAGGCAGCAACAGCCCCGCCGGCGAGCTGGCAGTGGAGACCCCTGCACTGCCAGCCCTTGGCCACAGACTCCGGCCCGCTGGCTTGGCTGGCAAGAGCCACAGATTCCTGCCTGCCGGCTCTGGGGAGCAGTGTGCAGGAGCCCTCCAAAAGCAACTTTGGCCCACTCCGTGCTTGAAATGCCACCGGCATTCCTGGGGCCTGAGTTCCCACTCCCCAAAGAACTGGGAGATGAGGCAAAGGGGGCCGGAGGCTGCAGGAAGGGAAGGAAAGTGGGGGGAGGCGCCCCAGCCCACTCTGGGTTACCAGCCTGCAGCCGTAAGAGCTCTGGGGCCGCGGCCTGCTTTGCCAAGCTCAGACTGGTGGCTTGGAGGGATGGTGAGTGAGGCCACCCCTGCCTGCTGCCACCGGCTTCCTGCAGCACCCCCTTCTACCATGGGCGGGAGTGGGGGACAGAAGCCCTGCAGGCTGATGTCAGAGCCCCCCCTTCTCCCTCTGCCTTGGTCCCCCATCTCAGCCCCTCTCTGCCAAGCCCTCACATTCGCGCCCCCCCGTAAATCTCCCGGGTCCCCCCCACAGGTCCCCGTTCCTCTCCTCTTCCATCCCTGGGCTATGCCAGAGCGTGGGCACCGCTTGGCTCCAGCAAGGCGTTCGGGACTGGCAGACGTCGGCAAATGCCCGCAGCTGGCAGGGGAGCCGTTCCTCGGAAATAAATGACCCAAGGAACCCTAAATGTGGTGTTCCTCTTGGGAACCAGAAACTTCCAGAGCCCTCTGGCTCCCGGAGCTGGAGGAAACTGGGGCTGTCTGTGGGGCTCTGCTGTTTCTCTTCCTCCCGCCGTGCCCCAGCCCCAGCTTCGACCCTCCCAGGATCTAAACCCAGGGTGACACCCAACACAGCATCGGGGTGACTCCCAGGGCTCCCATAGGATTCTGGAAGCGTGGCTTTCACCCCTGCGCCTCTCACCGCCCACACATCTTCCCCGGCTCCACCTCCAGACCCAGAGGAATCTGTCTTCTGGTGCCTCGGTCCCCTGGAGCACCAGAAATAGCCAAGCGCGTGCAGCCGGCACCACGGGGCAGATTTTGTTCTGGGCTGAGCAAGGAGTCTGCGGTAAAGAGCGAAGCCAGGAGGGGGCAGAGGAGGATGGGGCAGGATGGTTAATAGTGCCCCAAGACAAACACCATCAAATTCAGCAAGGGTTCAAAGGAGGGACTAGGGATCAGCTGGGCTCCTGGTGGCCACGTTATCACCCAAGAGCCAGAGGGGCCAGCCCGTGGCAGGCGATCTAGTGTGAGGTCTCCACGGGTGCAGAAAGTCACTCCCACACTTAAACCTGGTCCCTTTGTTTTCTCTCTTTCTCTCTCTCTCCCTCTCTCACTCTGCTTCCCAGAACCAGACCGCGTCCCGCTGTGCAGGGTACCAGCCGCCCTCCCCGGCAGGCAGGCCGCTCTAGCAGTCCTGCAGCGCTGTGGAGAGGAGCTAATTGGATTTGTTGTCACCTCCTGAAGCTGCCAGGAGCTCACGTCTGCTCTGGTTACAGATGAAGACATCACGGTGACAGGCTCAGAGACAGCTCAGCTGGCATCCCAAGGCCACTAATAGAGCCATGTTGATTTAATGTCCGAGCGGAGAGGTGCAGACAAGCTGTTCGAGTTTTCCCTTCCAGACAAAGCGGGGATCCACCATCCGTCATCTGTGGGCCAGTAAGCAAGCATCCTTGCACCGCCAGGAGCTCCTCAGCTTTGCCACAAAAGAACTGCGGACTCTTTTTTCAACAGGGAGACGGGAACAGAGCATCCTCCGCTTTATGCCGTCCTTGGGGAGCTCAGCTAATTGCAGCCAACATAAATTTTACTTAACTATATGATTATGAATGAAGCCGATGAGCCTCAAAGTGGCCGGCTCTCTGAAGGGGCGCCCCTGTGCTCCCGCTCTCCCGCTGTGGGGATGGAGAGAGGCTGGGGTTATGATGGGAGACCCCGGTGTCTTCCTGGACTCACTTGTCCACTGGCAGCAGTTTACTGAGCACCTATTGTGTGCCGGCCCCCAGAGCACAAGGCCAAGGACAGTTACGGTGCAGAACAGTAAGTGCTCAGAAGGGAAAGATGGGGTGGGGGACCCCGTTTCCTGGAGGGTCTCTCAGCAGGAGGGCCTAAGCCCAGAGGCCGTTAGCTGAGTGAGGGGTACCCAGCCCCGTGCCCCAGTCTGCTCACTCTGGGCAGTGGGGTTTGTAACAGACCCCTTCTCCCTCCAGGAAATAGTGCAAGGACCTGGATTCTTCCTCTCCTGCACCCTCAGACCCCTGAAGCTTACGGAAGCCCAAGGCTTCCCAAGAGGAGTCCTCATAGGGCAGGGGGGAGATGTGGCCTGAGAGATCTGAGGACGTCAGGAAATGACCAGTCATGGACCCTGTAGGAGCTGGGCCTTGGGGCTCAGCCTGCTCTCAGCATTCAGAAGATACCTCTCCTGAGAATCCTGTTCACACCCCTCAGGAGCACCCCGACGTCTCATCCTCATGAGGGGCCAGCAGGGTGCAGGAAACACACCTAACGGAGAGGCAGAGCTGGCTCCCTGTCAGGTGGACATCACCCAGGATCGAGCCTCTGACCCTGTCACCACCCCTAGAGCTCGCCTGCACCCCCAATGGGCCGTTAGAAAGACTTAGGGGACCCCCACCAAGTCTCCAGTAGGTAGTTCTCAGGAGGACACCAAACTGTGGAAACCACCTGAAGCCAAGGGGACACTCGGGCAGACGATAAACAAAGTATGGGGGTCTCCAGCCCAACGAGACCCCTGCTCCCCTCTGGGCTGACCCCCATACCCTGGTCACTCCTAGTTACAAGAAAGCAGACCAAATTCCACACTCCCTCAGAACGAGGGCAAACTCATCCCAGGTTCCTCCTCGAAGGAGCCAGGAAGTCACCCACACACCACAGGTCAATATAGAGAATATGAACAATAATGATAAAACACGAACACAAAGACAAGACAATGCAACAGCAGGACAGGATGAAAAGGGAGGTTCTGAGAATCTAAGGGAACAGACAGAAGCCAAACCAGGCCTACAGTGCAATAATCAGCTTACAGATGAGGGCTACAAGACATTCCTCCCACCAAGAGAGCTGACACACTGGAAGAGAAGCCAGGCCTGGTGGTACTCACCTGTAACCCCAGCAATCTGGGAGGCTGAGGCAGGAAGGTCACCAGTTCAAGCCCCCACAGGGGCAACTTCATAACTTGGCAAGACCGCGTCTCAAAATTAAAAGGCGGAGGGCTGGAGATGGAGCCCAGTGCAAAGGCCCCCAGTTCAGTCCCTAGTGCTGTCCCCAAAAAGGGGAAAAAGAAAAGAAAAGAAACCCAGGTCCCTGAAGGAAAGAATCCAACAATGGAATGGGAAATGTAAAGAAATAACACAAGGAGATCTATCTTAAAAGGGCAGCTTTATAAACAGGTACAAAAACAACTTGTGCACAGTGTTCTAGAAAAACTCAATTAGAGCCATCAGTACTGCAACACTGCCCAGTTCAGTTACAGAGCAGCCAGCGAGGGTCGAACGGGCTCTCTGGAGGTCAAGCAGGGAAGGCAAATCACCCCGGAGGAAAAAAGTACAACCGGCCCAAGACTCCTTGGCCAGAACCCAGGGTCACAGCTTTGCGTCTCGGTAACGAAACTGCAGCCAAAAGCATCAGAACCCGAAGGCTGTCACTTATAGTGGTAGCAGATGTTCTCCATGGTGAGAATGACCCGGAACACAGCAACCAGGTGACCAGCATTGAAGTCAGTCTACTCTAAAACAGAGCCACGGAACAAAGAAGCTGGGGTACGGCCCATGTAACTGTGGAACTTAAATTTTAACAGCCACGGAGTGGACAAAGGCAGCAAAAGGGACCAATCAGTGTCAAGGCCAGAAGACCCATAATGCACAGGGGCAGAGACCAAGATATGCTAGTATACAGGAAACAGGAAGCAGGAAACAGGAAGCAGGAAGTAGGAGACTGTGCTCTATCACTAGGCTTCTTTCCAGCCCTGTGCTCCTGTGCACTGCACCTCCACCCCACCTCTAAGCCTGCCCAATAGAAGGCAGAAACCATGTTTACTTTGTGGTGAAAATGAGATCTGTTGTCCATTCAACAACCCCCAAGCACAGGAAAGATGCTACTAAAAGAAGGGAGCTAAGAGAAAGTCTGCACAGAGAGCTTGATGGAGCCCTCAGTCTCTTCTCCTTTGGTTCAGAACCATGGCAACCAGAGACAGAGGCAGGAGAATGGCGAGTTTCAGGCCAGCCTGGGATACATAAGAAGACCCTGTCTCAAAGATGAAAACAAAGCCTACAATAAAAAAGGACCTCAGTAGTCTGGTTTACCCACACACCCTGCCATTCCTAGCAAGAGATTTGGAGATTCACCCTGGCAGAAACTGTCCAACAGAAACGAGATCACAGCTGGACATGGGGATCACATCTCTAATCCCAGTACCACGGAGGCTGAGGCAGAAGGATCTCCACGAGTTTAAGGTCAGCCTGGGCTACGTGGTGAGTTCAAGGCCAGCCTGAACTACATAGCCACATACTGTCTGAAGAAAAGGGAAGATTACAGACAGTAACATTTGGGAGGCTTCTAAAACAGCAGCCAGTTTGCCACCAAATCACTCAATAATAAAAAGTATAGTCTCTAAGCCTGCCCCTCAAATTGAGAAACGTCTCCTCTGTGTGCCAGCGTCTCGATCATAGGTATGGAGGGGCAGCCAGGGGCCTCCAGGCACCAGTCACAAAGCTGGAGAAAATTCTTGCATACGAAAGCAGAAAAAGTGAGCATGGTGGCTCACACCTGTAATCCCAGCACTCGGGAGGCTGAGGCAGGAGAATCATTGGAGTTCAAGACCAGCCTGGGCTACAAAGTGAGCTCAAGGCAGCCTGAACTGCATAGCGAGACCCTGTCTCAAAAAGACAGGAAAAAAAAAAAAAAAGAAGAAAGTAGAAAAGTTCTTAAGCCAGGAAAGAATTCTAAGAAAACAGCAAGAGAAACAACAGAAAATACTACGTCTCTTAAATAGCAATGACAATGCAAAAGGAGCCTAAGAAGTTAGAATGTGAGTGAAGGAATTTCAGACTCAGCAGACAGATCAGAAGGCCAAGTTGAGGAAATCTCGAAAACAGAAAGGAGGGGGCTGGGGGTTTAGCTCAGCAGCATAAGTGGCTGCTTGGCAAACACAAGGTTGAGTTCAATCCCTGGTACCAAAAATAATAATAATAATAATCAGAAATGTGAGAGCCAGGCCTGTGACGCCCACCTGTAATTCCAGCACTCAGGAGGCTGAGGCAGGAGGCTCTCTGTGAGTTCAAGTCCAGCCTGGGCTACATGGTAAGACCTTGTCTCAAAAAAAAAAAAAACCAAGAGCCTGGATGTGGGTGAAGGGGCAAATCACCCACAGAAGGGAAAATGGCAAAGGCAGGTGGACCAAGATAGCGGAGGACCAAGCTGTCAACAAGGACCAAGCGAGAAAAGTGCCCAGTGCCCACCCGGCAGCTGCCAAGGGCCAGAGCTGGGTGGTGGCCAGCCACAGAGGGCAGCAGCGTGGGAACCTCCGTTCCACTCAAGATCCAACCCTGCTGGCACACACAAAGGTCAGGCCAGTACCTCCTTGGGCCAGCACTGGACACGAGGGGAGCGAGGTCCTTCCAGCTCTCTCTCCAGTGTCCCAGCCTCTGGCCTCTCCTAGACAGCTGGGTGGCCACAAACGGAAGAACTGCCTTCCGGTGTGCTTGCTGCCTGAGTTTCCCTCCTATGAAAGGTAACTTGTGTTCAGGTGGCCTGGCACACAGCAAGCGCCCAAGTGAGGTCGGTCTCCTCCTCCTCCTCCTCCTCCTCCTCCTCCTCCTCCATCCTCTAGCAGGTCTCTTGCAGGAACAGCAGGCCAACTTCCGGTCAGCCATGGCGCTGTTCCTGGTGTCTCCATGTTTGGGCCCAGGAGGAAGGAGCGGCCCATTTTGGAGACAGCGCCTCCTAGCGGCAGAGGAAAGAGAGGACGAGAAGAGCCCAAAACCAGGGCGCAAGGCAACAGATTGCAACCATTACACAGAGCAGGTCCTGTGCCAGGCTGGTGGGGAGTCGGAGGAGGCCCTGCAAGGCCCCAGGTGTGAGGAGATAATGTCCCCCACTTCAACTGCTAACCGTTTTTACCATGAATGCTGGTTCAAGGATCCGCATGTGACCCAACTCACTGGGTGATTCCTTTCTTAAAGTTCCCAGCTGGGTCGAAAGGAAAGACAAGCATGGATCCCCTTGCCATTTCTGAGAAGCCTGGTGTGCACTGGAAGCCTCCAGTGGTGCCCCAGCACAAGGCCAGGTACCCACATTGTCTCTTTGTGGCAGAAGCCAGGTACCTCGGTCCTGTTAGTTGCAAAGAATCTGATCGGGCCGTTTGAACTGGTTTCCATCACTTGTCACACATGCAGGGGTCCCATTGGGTACCATGATGGGTCCTCAGTGACTCCAGGCATGACACCTGGCTTCCCTGACAGTGGTAGACACTCAGACTAGACATCTGTAACACATGTGTTTAATCATCCCAAGAACATCTATTTCAGAGGGGAGACGCATTCACCAAGCACATCCCGAGTGCCAGGGGTTGTCTCGGGGACTGTATCCTCCCAGCCTCAGAGAAACCGGTGAGGTCAATGCTACCAGTGAGAATCACAAAGACTGGACTCTGTCCAAACCACACCTAAACCCAGAGCCCGCATCTGCCTGTGCTATTGACACGATCATCTCCTTGAGCTTCCACACTGACTCCGTGGGTGCTGACACGGGCTGTGTCCTCAAGGCGAAGCCTGTGGAAATGTGTCCCTGCTCTTAGCATGACCTCCCTGTGGCCAGGGCTGAACTGAGGCTGCCCCAGACTAGGTTCAGCCTGTGTGGTGACGCTCTTCACCGCGCCCCACATCAGCCCACCCTGGGCCACCCAAGGTCCTACAGGCTGAAGCCCCCTCCTAAGCTTGCGCCCAGATCCCAGTGCACTGTGCCTGGCTTCCTGGATGGAGCCCCCTGCACCCCTCTACTTTCCTCTCCCCTGCCTCCAGCCCTCCTACCCCAAGATTATTAAATATAACACTATTTGTGGGAAATATGCAAAAACTGTTTATCTTTGGAAACTCAAATATATGAAACTGAGTCATCAGGCAAATTATACGCATCAGTAAGTGATAGATGTTCAGGGCCAGCAATCCTGAAATAGCGCATGAAAGCCTGTTCACGATCCTCTTTCTGCCGACGTAGCACTTTTGAGCAAAGTTCACTGCTGGCAATACAAAGTCAAGCTCCGCAGAACCTTTGCCATCATGGAGCCTTCAAGTACAGCCTGGGGCAGGGGGCTCTGGGGCCCAGGGAGCCCCATGGACCCCTGTCCATCCAGCCCGGGGCCAGCATCATGCTCCTGCACCACGTGGCCAACATCTATGGTGAACATTTTTAAATTTTTTTAAATTGTTACAGTAGTCGTAACATTGCACATTGTAATTAACCCCCCTCAAAATGCTCCCGCTAACTGTGAACATTCTTATCCCATCCTTCCGGCCACCTCCTGCAGCAGTTCCGGAAATCCTCTCGTGTCCCATGTGTTAAGGGGTGCTCCTTTTGACTTGGAGGAAGAGCCAGCAGGCACGCAGCACCAGAGCTAAGAAATGAGCTGGATGAGGACACACTGTGACATGTTCATGACCACCGTTCACTATGCTCCCACCACACCTCCTAGACACTCCCAAAATCACCACAAGGAGGGTTGGCTCCAAATGCACTCACCAGCTCCTGAGTGCCAGGCTCTGGGCCGGCTCTGGTTGCTGGACCAAAGCCCCCACCCACCCCCAGACCTAGAGGAGGAACTAGCTCAGGAGTGGGTCAGTTACTGCCCCTGACAACCTTGCCATGCTGTGCCAGAGACCTGTCCTGTGACCCTGTTGGTTTCCTTCTGGGTGAAAGGTCATCATTTTTAGTTCGGCACAAAGATTAAAATCTTGGTCAAAACCAAATTGCAATTCACATGTCCCCACTAGCCCTTCTGTGCCTCAGTTTCCTCATCTGAGAGTGTGAAAAAACAGGGGACCACCCTTCGAGATGCTTGGAGAGAGCATGAGATCGGGCGAGGTGCCGCTGTTGCTGTTGGTGCTGCTGTTATCCTTCCGCGATCCACCCCGCAGTGCCAGGCCACGCAGAGCCCACTGCAGCCACACAAAGGCTTTCTCTAGCTCCAACATGGCTCCAGTGTCCCTCCCAGCTGCAGGGTCACAGGCGGCCTTGTGCTGTCCTTCACCACCTTCCTGAAGTTCAGCCCTGGCTCTATCGTCCTCAGGTCACTTTTATGTGGGACATGGAGTCTACAGCTCCTCATGGGAGCTGTGTGAGGACGGAAGACAGTGGCATCAGAGGATCCTGTTTGTGACCTGTCCAGTGTTTCCTGCAGACAGACTCAGTCCCCGGTGGAACCAGAAAGCCATTCCTCAGATCTAAGGGAAGCCTTGGGCTGCAAGTAACAGAAATACTAGGTGAGAAAGGCAGAAAGAGTGAAGGCTCCCTATCCTCCACCCCCACCGTGGGCCACTGTAGACCAAAGAGTGGGCTACCAACCCCAAGGCCAAGGGGAACCAGAGCCCTGACATGGTCTTTCCTGGAGGCTGGGCCAGGTGGATGCATGAATCCTGGGCAAATCCAAAGCCCTCGGTGTCCACGCAGAGGGAGAGGCAGCGACCTGGAGCCAGCAGCCAGTGTCTGCCATGCCTGTCACACAGAAGCAACAGCCGGGCGCTGGTAAAACCTTCACTAGGATACACGGTCCTGACCTTGGTGCCCCATCACCCGCCCAGGCCCTGCCCACACAGAGGGCAGCAGGCAGCTGGCCGACTTGGGGGAAGGGAGGCTGGAGTTGAGCTGAGGAAGGACCAGGCAGGTGACAGTCACCACGGTCTGCTGCAGGTCCCCAAGCTGCTGCGTCCCTGAGGCTGCTCTGCGCCTCCATGTATCCCCTCTTTCCTGCCAGGAGATGCTCTGCTGGCAGATAAGACAGTCAGAGACGCATCCGGATCCCTGCCACCCAGGGACATCTGAGTGACCACAGGGGTCTCAGCCACACTCACTTCACAGGCGTGGGGACACAGGCCAGCAGGGGGGTGGCTGCCCAGTCTGCCCAGGTCAGAAGGCAGCCCCAAGAGAACCCCGAGGTTTCTTGACGACGCCAATGTCCTCTGTCTGACAACCTCCAGTAGTTTCTGGACTGGGGGGCTCCACCCTCCCCGTGACCTAGCTCTGGCTTCGCTCCCCGAGCAGAGAGCAGGCGCGGCCAGAGTCAGCCAGCGATCCCAGCCAGATGGGGGACCTGGGGATCCCCACACCCCACCGCGCCTCTCCTGGGGAGTGCCTCCTCGCACCAGGACGCCCCCGCCCCCCACCCTCCTGTTTCCTGGGGACCGGGGAAGCCCACGCCTGCCCCGGACCCGCGGGTTCTGCCGTGTTTACTGCTCCCTGCGCTGGGGCGCACGCGCCTTCAGCGCGCAGTACATAAACTCTTGGCAAAGTCGGGCTGCCACGCTTTGCTGAACTCCTGAACACAGATGTCCCATTTGTGTTTCATTAGTGCGTCCGCCGCGCTGCGGCTTTCGACCTCTGCACCAGGCAATAATTACCTGGCTGGGGCCCATCTCCGCGCCAGCTGGCCGGGGACTTGCTCTGCCCGACCAGGGCTGCGGAGGCTGTCAGCCCTTTCCAGGCGACTGGGCCGCTGCGCAGCCACCAGGATGCCTCTGCAGACTCCGGGCCGGTGCGAGCGTGGGGGCGTGGCTGTGAGCAGGGCTGGATGGGCGTGGCTTCGTGGCCTTGGGCGGGGCTGCACGCGCATGGGGCGGGGCTTATGCGCACAAATGAGGATGCGTGGCATGGGCGTGGCTTGGTCATGGGCGGGGCTACATGCTCATGGGGGCGGGGCTGTAAGAGCAAGCGAGAGAAGCCTGAGTGGATTCTCGCAGATATCGCCATACAGAAAGTCTCCATATAGAGTTCAGCTACCTTGGGGGAGGCCAGGAAAGCAGAGAAGGACGGTAGCAGAGAAGAAAAGAGTGGAAGAGGGAAGAAGAACAGAAGGAGGAAAGCTAGAGGGAGAAAAGAAAGGAAGGGGTAGAGAGGAAGAGGAGGGAGACCGAGGTAGACGGAGGCCCCTGCAGGCTGTGGACTGGCAGCGTGGCCGAAGCTGGGCACGCTCAGGTGGGTCTGGCAGCCCGCAGCCTGGATCCCTTCTGTGCCATTTGGCTCCAGCCTCTCAGCTCCAAAAGAGGCACTGGGCAGGCAGCTTCCGCGTGGGAGGGTTTCCAGCGCAGCCTTGGCAACCTGCAGGACTTCCGTGGGTGGCTCCCAGATCCCTGGGCCTGGGCGCAGCTGCTGGAGCTCAGGGCACCCTCCTGCACCTCAGGCTCTGCTCTTGGGGCTTCTGGAAAGCCACTGAAAGGGCTCCTCGTGGAGGAGGGACAGTGCTGGGCACCCGGACACAGTGGACCGCAGGCTCTTCGCTGCAGGTGAAATTCTATCTTGGAGAAGAGAGTCTGGAGCCCTTTCTAAACCCCTGAGACTAACTTGACTGAGACCCAAGCCCCCAGAGCCAGGATCCGCACCTGGCACATAGGTCTGGGTAGGTTCGTTCCCCTGCTCTGAGTCTGGGATTACGGAGCAGGGAACAGGAAGAAGGTCCCCCGATCCAGCATTTACCGAGTGCACCATGCCAAGTGCTCTGTCAGCAACCTGGTGGGAAAAAAACTACTCTCATTTTGCAGATGAAAACACAGAAGCTTAAAGAAGTAGCTCATTCCGGCAGGAAATCGGGGTTCACAGCCTGTGGTGGTGGGCCCCAAGTGTTCTGGATTTTGGATAGTTTAATGCGCAGCATTTCAACTTGGCAGTGGTGTGAAGATGATTTGCCTTCAGGAGAATCCATACTTTCAGCTTTGAATGTGGATCTTTCTCCCAGTCTGATGCTATATGGCCTCGTCCTGTCTATCAATGCTGGACAATTCAGTCACCAGCAGCTCCCAGACAGCCCTACCATCATGAGAGGACACAGGCAGGACTCAACAGTTTGCCGAGTGGCAGAGCGGAGACCTCCCCAGTGTAGTAAACATTTCAACCTGCGGCATGAGGTCATGGTGGTATCATCCGGGCAGAAGCCCACCACAGGTCGAGACCATCTGTGCGAGCATTTTGCTGTGTTTCGGTGAACATTTCTCCAGTGACTGGGACGTGGAGATTAACTGTGGTGCCCTTCATTATTTATTTACAATGTTCGGCACATCTACAGGCAGCGCCTTTAGTCAGACTCCTGCTTTAGTTTTGCTGTTTGAACATAAATAAATGCCTTTCTGAGCAGACATCCAGCATCTTGGGGCTGGGGTGTAGTTCAAAGCACATATGGCGTGTGCGTGAGGTCCTGGGTTCCATGCTCAGCCCTGCAAAAAATATAAATAAATCAATCCACTTTCACATATAAGCTCATAGATTTTCATCTTGCAGGTTCTTAATTCACAAATTCTCCATTAGGGGCTTTTTTTTTTGTACTGAGGAACCCAGGGCCTTCATACTGAGCTACATCCCCAACCCTTTGTATTTTCTGTTTTGAGACAGGTTCTCTTTAAATTGGTAAACTGCCTGAGCTGGGCTCAAATTTGTAATCCTCCAGCTCAGCTTCCCAGAGTACTGGGATGACAGGCAAACACACCACACCCAGCTAGGGGGCTTTTAAAAACCAAACCATCCCCATCGGGGAGAGCAGAGAGATTGGCAAAGCTGAGCAGGCCGCAATTCAGTGTTCTGCATCAACTCCGTCAACTCCGTAGGAGAGCAGTGACCCCCGGATCCTCCGACGTGCTGTGAAGGGCTCTCTGAGCACTGCCTGCCCGGACCTGGGAGGAAGCTTTCCTGGGAGACACCTTGTACTCCCTGGAAGAGCAGAGATGAGCTAGAAGGGCAGCGCTCCAGCCAGCCCAAAAGTGTGTATTTGAGGACTGTGTCTACAGTAGGACGCTTAGATGGATGGAGAAGGGGTCCTCCAGCCCCAGAGGGACCCTGGGTGTCTCAGTACCTGGGGTGGCCCTCGGTACCTGGTGGCCTGTAGAAAAAAGATGCTTGGGAGAGATACAGGTGTAAGCCTGCACCGCCAAGGAGCTAGGAGTCAGGGCCCCCAGCCCCATCTACAATGTGCTCCGCCCAGCCCCGCCCCCTCTCAGCCTCCCCTGTCCACTAAAGTGCTCAGCCCAGCACATGGCTGGTCTTCCCGGCCACTGCCACCTCTGCAAATGTCACAGATTTGGAAAGCAGCACTTCCTCTGCTTCCTCTTTCTACGTGTGAGGAACTTTACTGACATTGGGGTGCGGGGGACCCCACTACAGCAGCAAAGCAGCTCAGGGGTCCACTGTCCTCCAGGGATTGGGACCTTGGCACATTCACCTGGGCACAGAAGGCAGAAAGTGCCAAGATCAAGATAAGTCATATTTTAATGGGAAAAAAATGCGAAAAATTCATGAACAAAATATTAACATTTTAAATAAAGACAGGATCAAATAGGTCTCACCGTGTCTCCTTTTGCCTCGGGCTCTGATGTGGCTTGGTGTAATGGATCCTGTCTTTTTTAGAATGAGTATTTTGTTCATTATGGGTTTTTCTATTTCGGGTTTTTTTTTTTTTAACGTCATTAAAATACGATTTCTCTTGATTATTGTGGTCTTTGGCACTGGGAAGAAGTGAGCCAGGAACAGGGCAGGAGGCCTGTGTGAGCCTGAAGGAAAGCCAGAGATCACAATCTCACCATAGTCAAGACTCAGCACGTACCCTGCCACTTGAGTGACCTGGTTTTTCTCTACCAGAAATGTCACTTTTTGTGACAAGATACTTTGCACATAGTACAAAGTACTTTGGACGTAGTCTCAGCTGTCATCCATGGCTTTTGCAGGAGGCTCATTTTAGTGTTCCCATTTCCCAGATGAGGAAACTGAGGCCTGGAGCTTCAATTGGTGGCACAGCCGGAAAGTAAGGGAGCCACTCCTGAAACCTACCAGTCTCAAAAACTGGTGAGATGGATACAGTTCTGACAGGGGTCGGTGGCGTAGGCTGGCCCTGGGACAGCTGTGGGTAGGATTCACAGCAAGGGTGCAGTTCTGTTAGAGTTGGGCTCACACCAATAGTGCTTACTGTTTAGAGAATCATGTGACCCCGCTTCCGTTTGTTTTAAAATAAGGGACTGGGAGTGCACAGGTGAAATGAGACCAGTCAGCAGCTGCTGGTTGTCAGAAATGGACCATGGTTCCGTAGGTGAGTCTGTGTACACTTGACATCTGGCCAAAATTTCTATAATAATAATGAGCTAGGCGTGTTTACGCACAGCTGTGATCCCAGCACTCTGGGGAGGCTGAGACAGGAAGATGGTACGTTTGAGCCCAGCCAGAGCAATTTGGTGACTTAGTGAGACTCTGTCTCAAAATTTAAAACTAAGCCAGAGATGGTGGCGCACACCTGTAATCCCAGTCTGTAGGAGGAGGAGGCAGGAAGATCACCATGAGTTCAAGGACAACCTGGGCTGCACGGTGAGTTCATGGTGAGCCTGAACTACACAGCAAGACCCTCTACCCCAAATTAAAAATTTTAAAAAGGGCTGAGGACATAGCTCACCGTAAAGCCCTAGGTTCAATCCCTAGTGCTGAAACAGAAGATGAAGGGGAGAAACAGAAGGAGAAGGAGAAGGAAGAGGAGGAGGAGGAGAGATTTCCTTACGCAGAGGCACCTGCGCTGACACATACATGGCGCAGAGCTGCTTTCAGGTGACTGAAGCCTAGGGCACCTGGCAGTGCCCATCTGGACACTAAGGGGGCTGGACATTACCGAGCAAGGCACGTGGGATCCAGGTCTTCGTGAGGCCCGTCCTGAGGTTTCGCTGATGCGAGTGTAACTGGGAACCACTGGCCTCCTGTGACACAGACTCACTGTGGAGCCAGGGAAACAAAGGCCACGGCAGCAGGACCCTCCCAAGTCCCACCGGAACACAGACACAGCTGTCACCAAACACAGGGCTACTGGCTTTTACACCCGAGCTGTCAAAGAACCACTCCGGAAGAAGAGAAACAAAAATGGAACCTGGGCACAGCGACAAATGCCTGGGATCCAGGCACTTGGGAGGCTGAGGCAGGAGGCTTACAGGTTCAAGGGCAGCCTGGAGACTCCGTAGCATGGACCTTGTCTCTCTGTCTCTCTGTCTCTGTCTCTCTCTCTCTCTCTCTCTCTCTCTCACACACACACACACACACACACTAGGGTAATGGGTGTGAGCCTATGGGTGTGAAAATGATCAAAGCATGCATGTACAAATCTGCCAAAATGAAATGCATCACCTTGAACAACCAATCAGCACTAATTTAAAAAAACAGTGATGTAAACCACAAAACAACAGGAGCAGGGTGAAAATTTCCAGGAAGATATACCTCAAGCTTCTGAATCCAAATTAATGAATGTGACACATCCAAGATGCTGGGGGAAGGAGGGGGGGAGGGGGAAGGGGACGGACACCCTGTTTAGTTCAAGGTTGAAAACTGGCCTTGCTGTGTGGTTTGCTGAGCGAGTTATTTACAAAGACTCAGCCTTCGCTCTCCCACCTACAGTATGAGTCCGTAGCCCTGCTTGCACTTTTCTATGAGGACCCAAAGCTCTAGCTTCTTACAAATGTGGTGACCTTGTCCTTGGATGAGTCCCACCTACCGCTGTCCCCACTACTGATACCGATACCCTGTTGAGCACTGTAAACAAAGCGGGGGACAGAGCTAACGGGTGTGAAGTCTCCTTGGAGTCTGTGTCCTTTGAGTCACCTTTCTTGGGTGAAAGAAAGAGCTCTGCTGACCAGAGAGCGACAAGCAAGGTGCCCTGATGGTCACCCTCCCACCACAGAGACACTCAGAGCACAGTCTCAGGCAGTTTCCTAAACTGAGAGAAATGACTCATTCAGTGCCAGCAGAAACACCACCCAGAACCGGGGACACAGCCAGCACACTGGGCTACAGAAATAGAAGGATGGGGCTGGGGGTGAAGCTCACGAGTAGAGCACTTGGCCGCCACTCCTGAGGCCGGGGACAGGGGAGACTGAGGCTCCAAGAAAAAAGAGCCACCTGAGCTCAGGACCGTGCAGGGCCCCGCCCTCTCCAGCGGCAGCCCTGGGCACTGGGCACGGCGCTCTGGTACCCATGGCCATCGCCAGGGGCAGCCGCTAACTGGAATCAGCCTCGAGTGGGCCCCAAGGGGGTGGCCCCAGAGTGGTGGCACCCAGTGGTCCCATCTTCAGGCCCAAGATAGCGGCAAAGTGAGGTTCCTTGGGCCTGACCAATCTTGACATCAGGGATGGACGGTCACCAGGAGGGCGGTCATCGGAGCAGGGCCATCAGGGGTCTGGGAAGAGCTTATTGGCTGGGTGTGCTAGTCCGGGCGCTTCAGTTGCAACAAAAAGCCATCAGCCTAGAGTAAGGGAGCAGGAAAACGGGCTCCCCTAAATGATTCTTTCTGACAAGGTCCGGCCACAGGTGTGTCTGGATCAACAAGTTTAACAGGTGTCATCCGACCTGATCGCTCTCCACCTTCTCGCTGCCTTTCTCCGTCCTGGCTTCCTGCCGTCTACTGTGGTCACCACCGCCGCCCCTAGGAGCTTGTCCTGGTGACCCCGCACAAGCACCCAGCGGCCACCCTGGGAGGAGCTTTTACTGAACTGATTTTGGAGCACACCCATTACTGTAGTAACCAACCAGATTGATCTGGGGATGTGATGCTGTGATTGGCCACCAGCATAGCAAGCCCGCCCCTGGCACTGGGGGCGGAGCCGGCCCCTCTCAACCAATAAGCATCCTGTGCAGGAAGGAAAGTTACCAGATTGTCTCCAGAAACAGGAAGGTAGAACAGAGAGGGCTAACAACACAGTTGGGGGCAGAGCCCGTGGAAGTGTGGACAGGGGGGTGGGGGTGGGGGTGGGGGTGGGAGGTCCGTGAGCATCGCCGAGGCTGGTCAGGTCTCACACTGGATCTCAGAACCCAGGTGCCACTGTCAAGCAGTGATGCTGAGAGTTACCATTCTGGTCACCTGGTGAGGGCGGCCTCGGGTCTGGGGAAGCCTGCAGCTTAAACAGGTCAGTGCCTGCAGCGAGGAAAGGCCTGGAGGAGGCCGGGTACGGAGGCTCTGAGGTGCAGCCCAGTAGGGCAAGAGGGGCACCCCAGCATTTGGGAGTGTCACTCTCTGCCTCAGGAAGGAAGGAATCCCACGCTTTCTGCCACAACGGGCTTCAGCATGGGTGTGTGACCCACAAAGGGACAAAAGTAGAGAAAATCGGTCCTTAGAGATGTTGCAGAGGTGCTGAATTAGCCAAGCCAGGGCTGCCCCTGTACCCGGAAGTCTCAGCAGGTCACACAGTCCGTGTCCTCCTTCCTAAACCCAGGCGAGCTGATCTGCTGCGTTTCTCACTGCCTGTAACCACTGTGGGCTTGGCTTGCTGAGGTGCATTTACTGCTCATTTTCTGCTGCAAGAAATTGCTTTTTCTAGGCCTGTCCCTTTAAGGCTGCAAAGGGAAAATTTTTTTCCTAAGTAACTTTTTTACCCTCATTTAAATACACCTAGTTCTAAAATGGCCAGAGACTGACAGTTCCTTTTCACATAGTCACAAAACAAAGCTCCCCAGCCCATCACCAGGGTAATTAAATTCATTCAGCCACGGCCATCTGATGGCTGTGTGTGTGGCCGAGGAATCAGAATAAACAAAGCTCAAAGACAAGGGAGATGCTTTGTGTATACAACCAGGTGGAGAGAAAGCAGGTACAGGTTACACTCGGCAGCGAGTGGGGCTGCACGCAATCACCCTACTTCCACAGTTTTCAGATTTTCTGCAGTGAATATAACCCCAAAACTAAGATGAAAACCAAATGGAAGCCCGGCAGTGTTCAGAGGCTCGTGGAGTAGAAACAGCCAATTTCCCCTGGTTTTCCAAGGTCAGGTCCCTGCACCCAGGCAGGCAGGCACTGAATTAAGTCTGAGCAGCCGATGCGGGGAGTTCTGGCGAGTGTAGACAAAAAAACCAAAAGCACAGGACTCCGGGCCTGGTCCTGCCAAGTGGTTTCCACCTCTGCCATCATCAAATCCATTTCCATTCCAACTGTGGGTTCTGAAGTAGCAAAGCCCCCAGGACGGGGCCAGGTGTCAAAACTGACCTGCAAATGTGAGCTTTTTGGGAGCCCCTCACCGTCAGGGAGTTTGGCACGTGGGAGGTTAATTCTCTTATCAAAACTGTACAAAATCCTAATTTTGCAGAGTGGCAATTTGGGGGGAAAAAAAACAGCAATGGGAAAATGTTGGTTATGCAGCACTAGACATTCAGTTCTCAGGGGATCAATTATAAAAACACTCATTCAGCTATTTCTATTCAAATGAACACCTGAAGAGGAGGCCTCAATGGTTTTAAAAGTGTGTGGATATTACTGGATAAATGTTAGTCCAATAAAAGAGATCATCATCTGCTATTTGTGTACATTTAAGTTGACACTAAAAAGATCTTTGTGGAGCACTGTGCGGTTTCCTCTTCTGCGTGCATCTTTTTATGCCCCGTTCCCTTAACGCTTTAGCAACTGGAGGGAACCGATCCGGTGGGGCTGGTCAAGGCTTTCTTCTTCCTCCTCTTCCTCCCCCAAAACTGATGGGACTCAGGGGCTGGGAAGGCCATGCTGGAAGTGGGCAGCTCTGGTCCCGGGCACTTATGAATATGTAATGTCCTGCTTGGAGGCACAGTCACGAAGTCCTAATAAGAATGCACGGATCTGTGTTTGAAAACAGATATTTGCATTTGCCCTGCGGTCACAGTACATGGACCGTTCTTATTCAAAAATTTATTTTTCTTCTGCTTCTTTTTTTAAAGGTCTGAAAACACTTGATGTCCCTGTTCTATGCACGTGCATGGGCGCACACACGCACACACCCCTTTCTCTTCTCTTTAAACAGAAGTGAAGAGGGGGGAGCCCAAAGCCCAGGTAGCCCCATCCCTCAAGTCCCCAGACTCTGGCTGGGCTCATGACTTCCGTATAGAGATGCCATCAGAACTGCACCTGCCAGCCAGTGTTTTTTGTTCTTGTCCAGTAGGTCTGCAATGAAATGCAGAGACAAAGAGAAGGGAAGCGACCCGGGAAGGGTATGTTGAGGCACAACAAGTACCACAAAGTGATGTGGGGCTCACATGCAGCTGCAGGGAGGGGGGCCATGGCCAGCTCCAGGATGGCCGCGCTGTGGTTGGTACTTACTGGCTGGCAGAAGGACGCAGCAAGCAGAGAGCTATCATTGCCGGGGTTAAGAACAGCAGCCAGGCAGTCATTCTGCAAAGCAGACTTGTAAAAGGGGACCTCTGTCATCTGTGGCTCCTGAACCCCTTTGTTATTGGACCATGTGGATTTGGGCAGCCCCTCCTGCTGGGGGGGTCCCCTCCTGTGGGCCTGGAAGCCCCCGATCCCCATGCAGCCACCCTGCTTCCCCATGCGAACGCTGATGTCAGACCTGCTTGGCTGGGACAGCTATCAGCAATTCCTCTGTCCCGGCCTCGTGCCCTGCCTGCGAGGTCAGCAAGGTTAAACGGTGATCACACAAAGCCAGAGTTTTGAGCAGTCCGCTTAATGCAGGTGTGTGAGGAGCCATTTGTTTGCCTGTGAAAATGGCCCAGTATTTACTTATCTAGGGGTGGGCCACATCCGTGGTGGACTACGGAAGGATGGCAAGAGAGGGTGGGGTGCAGCTCCAGTTCCGGAGCTCCCCTGCTGGCCTAGCAGCAAACCATTCTGATGCAGCTGTGGGCCGCAGGCTGGGACCCAAGCCCCCATTGCAGGGCTCACGATGACACCTGCAGGACAGTCGTCCCTAGAGGGGAGGGAGGGGCCACCCAGTCTCTGCTTGCCGCGTGTGTGTGTGGGGGGGGGGGGGAGCCAGGCTCATCACTGGTACCCAAGGATGGGGAGAGGAGACCCAGTTCTCAGCCTGCCATAGGAGCCCCAGCAGCAATGAAGAACCCCCTTGCTGCAGAGTCGGGGACCTGGTTTCCAGCCCCCACCTTCCCAAGCCTCCCAAAGCCTGTGGTTGCCCCTGCTCAGCCACCAAGCTGGGAGAGTCACAGCCTGGGACAGCTGGCCAGCAGGGAAGAGGCAGGGAAGCAACAGGGACTGGAGGGCCAGCTGCCACACAGCAGCATCCAAACAGCGATCTCCTGAGTCCTGTTCTGTGGCAATTTTTCACCGCCTGTCTGCTCCTTGCTACCATGCATCAAGGTGAGGCCACGAAGCCCGACGCCCTTACATTACATGCTGGAGACTAAAGATGAAGGGATGTTCCTGGGCAATGTCACCCCTAGAGATGGGACCTAAGTCAGCTGAGCCCCTGCTCACAGAGCAGGGCTTAGGATGGCTGTTGGTCCCTCAGCTCATATCCTGGTCACCCACCCTTCCTGACAAGCCCATCCTAGAGAACTGCATGCATAGCTTCTCTATAGATCGTCTCAATGTGCCCCTCCATGGACCCACAGGCTTGTACACACACATGTGCACACGAGCTCACAAGCTGGAACATCTAAGCTGAGAGAATCCAATCAAGGCTGGGCTTCCACGGCCCCGGCTCCATCTCTTCCTGTACACACGCTTGCAAAAGTCTCAGAGCCAGGACAGGGGAAGATGGGAATGAAAATGAACCGATTCAAAGATTTCTTTATAACTTTTCTCAATATTCTGCTGATTGCTAGCTCAGTAGCAGATGTGATATGCTTAATGATGCATAGACAAGAAGCAGCCCCTAATCCCTAAATGAACTCCTTATCTCTAAATATATACAGGGGAAGCTATATAAACTCAATTCAGCCCCCTGCTCTTCCAGCTCGTGGGAGAGAGGAATAGAGGAGAGAGCCGGTGCCTAGGAGACCCGGCAGGGGCAGGGGGAGGGCAGGGAGAAAGTGGGCAAGTTGCAGGGACAGCTGGACACAGCACCCCTCGCCCCAGGGACATGTAGCCCACCTGCATCTGCATTTCCAACAGGAGATCTGAGGGCTTCTGTGGCAGCAGTGATACTAGCAATGGTGACCCTCACTCCTGGACCCTCTCTCTGTTTAGTAGTTTGCATTAAGGGACCTCGGTGGTCGGCTAAAACTGGCTTTTCTTCCTCAGGTCAGTCTCTGTGAAATACACTGATGGCCACACTCAGCAAGCTTTTAAACTTGGGAGTCCTTAGAAGGGCAATAAAAGCCCATTAACCCTGGGCTTTCTCCCCTCAGCATCTGCTGTGTGCAGGCACTGGGTCAAGGCCCAGGGAGGCCCAAGGTCCGTCCAGTGGGGAGAGATGTGAGCTGCCAGTGCAGGGAGGTGCCCAAGGCAGATGCACTGGGTGGGGGGTGAGGGGATCCTGGCTCATCCTCTGTACCTGCTGCACCCAGGGGTACCCGAGAGTGCAGAGTAGAGGCTCAGGGATTGGAGAACTTGAGGAGCTGGCTGAGGAGCTGGAAGGTAAGTCTGGGGGAAGGGAGGGAAGAAGGCCTGGGATGGCGGGGCTCAACTCTTCCTGCAGGAGGGAAGGGGCCTCAGTTTCCTCTACTAGTTTTTGCTGCCATGCTGAGTAGGTGGGCAGGAGAGTCGGCTTGGAGTACAAGGGGCTGGGGATTTAGCTCAGCAGCATAAGCGCCTGCCTTGGAAGCAGGCAGTCGTGAGTTCGATCCCCGGTACCAATAAAAAGACAAAAAAAAAAAAAAAAAAAAAAAAAAAAGATTGGAGTACAAGAGATGCCAAGAGGCCAGTCCCGGGCCTGGACAGATCCCATCTCCGAAGCACTGTTTACCCCAGCTGGTCGGCTCGCCTTGAAAGGAATACAAAGGAGCACAGAGAGATGCTGTGGAAAGGAGGAAGATCAGCATCTGCCCACCTGAGCCAAAGAAGAGCTTATGCATATGCAATCCGGGCCCACTCTGAAGGTTTCCCATTAGCTGCGTACAGAAGCCATGGCCGGGTTGGGGGAACCTATATTTCACCTTACGTTGCACACAGCTGGGCTCCGACTGGCACCAATGCTAACATGCAAACGAGGCCCTATCTGTATTCATCAGGACTCTGGGAAGCCAGGAGGGGCAGGGACCCTTCCCTTCCAGAGCCAGCTGACAAAGACAAGTAGGTGGGGTATCCGGGAGGTGTCCTGCCTGCAGGAAGGGGTTGGGGTGGACAGAGGGCACTGCAGGGAAAGGGACCCCATGTCCTTGTCACATCACAGTGGGAGGAGGGTGTCATCAAGAGCAGACTCAAAACCCAAAGGGGCCTGGAGCCAGAAGTCCTTTCAAGAAGCCCAGCCTAATGGCTTTATGAAGCAGAGATGAAAATATGGGGAGAGCCACACCCCAGTTGTAGGGTTTTGTTGATATTGCTGTTGATATGTAAATACAGTTGTGTTCAATTTTTGCTCATACAGGTAAAGAGGGATCCAGGAAGCTCCCTGGTCAGCCGTGTCCAGGCCACATGCACCAGGCTGTGCGCCATGTGGAGAATGGACACAAATAAAGAGATTGGAGGCAGGGTCCCTGTCTTCAGGAGCCACACACAACAACTGAGCAGCAGACACCACAAAGCAGCATGCAGACAGAAGCCAAAGGGTGAAACGTGCCAGGTGTCTGAGGGGAAGTCCCTGGATCGAACACGCCACACGCCGGCTGCCGGGGGAGTCTGATGAGATCGGTTTCCTCTCAGAGGCATGGTGGAAATGCCAGCGCTGGGTGTGGGAGCCGGGGTCGCACCCAGCTCTTCTCCAACCCGCACGTTCTGTTTCAGCTCTGCTCTGAGCCCACTTGTGGCTCCCCTCGCACATCTCCTTCTTTATTTCTTGCTGGGAAAAATGTGGCAGCGAAACTCTCACCAGGCTGTAAAGAGGGGTCTGATTTCTCAGGAAGGACGCTTGTTCCCGTGGGCCTGGCTGTGCAGCTCTTACACAGAAGGAAGTGGCAAGTGACTGCCTAGGATGCGGTCCTGGGTTCCTCCCCCAGAGCCCCACGCAGAGAAGACAGAAAGCCCTCTCCCTCAGCCCCACCCAAATTAGCAGGTGGATCAGCAAAGCGGCTGTCCCTCTACAAGCCAGAACTCCCGTATCAGAGCTGGATGCTTACTCTAAAATACAGATAATAAAGCCTATTTGTTTCTTTGAGGTGCACACAGAGTGGCTAAGTGACATTTAGCATCTCACTGATCGCACTGATCGGGTGTAGGTGAAAACAGGCCCATAGGATCGGTCACAGCAAGCTGTCAAAACAGATACGCAAACAGTGCCGACCGCACATGATAGAAAAGAGCCACAGAGCCCTTGGCTGTGCACCTAAAGAAGGCAGGTGCGACCTCACCTACAGCTATGGGGTGCTTCTTCCCGGAGCCCCAAAGGCTCTCCTCTTACTGCTCAGGGCTGCGTTCCAGATGGATGGACTCCCTGCAAGGCAGACTCCTGGATAAATACGCACCATCCCCCGCTGCCACCCCCGTCTTCCCCGCACCCTCTCGGACACCAACTCTGCTTGGGCTCTCAAGGAAGGACAGAGAGTTAGAGCTGAATGTTAATCTGGCATTGCTCTCCCTCAGATGCACTTAGCAACCAGTGAAAGAAAGAGGAGTCAGGGTAGTGAGACCATGTTCATTCTTTATGGAAATGAAGTACAGGCCAGCATTGTTTCTGGAAATCCCATAAACTACAGCTTAATTTCCTTGACCAGCTCTAGGTGATGCAAGGTTTCGGCCACATTCACAAACTTGCCTACCCTCTGCCTTCTGATTCACAAAGCTAGCCATGGTCAGCAGACAGATCAGAGGACTTCTGGTAAACAGGTATAGACCCTCCTCTAAGGACGGGGTTTTGACAGGGACCCCTGAGCTCTACAAGGATGTTCTAGCTACCAACTGTGGCCCTGGACTCCCGGTGACAGTTTAGCCAGAAAATAGCAATAAAAAGTGTCACTTCTCAGTAAGAGGGGTCAGCTCACTGGCAGCACCTGCCTCAAGGGCCCCCTTGGTATGCAAGCTCTGAGCCCCAAGAACCCTCTCTTCAGGGTCTGTTTGTTAGGAAGGGTCAGCAGGCCAGAATTCTAGCTCCACTGCTTTCTGTGTCTCCTCCAGTCCCAGGTGATGACCCTGGTTCTCCAGGGCTGCTGGGAGACCTGAGAGCTTTGCAGAGAGGGCCCAAGTGTGCCTGTCTCTGTTCTACCGTCCATAACCATTCCCATCCTAACGATCGGCTCCATCATACAGAAGACTGAGAACCTGCAAAGCAAGCTGCATGGAAGATGGGAACCACCCCCATTTCAAAGGCAGGATGCAGCCAGATAACCCACAGAAGTCTTCAGCCATAGCCAGGGACTTCGGGAGAGACTCAGGGCAGAACTCCTTCCATCCTTCACTCACCGGCAGCATCTGCCACAGAACAGGCGCCGCCACTACAGCCAGGCTGGACGCAGCCCCAGCCTTCCGAGAGCTGCTCCACACAGGCAGAGCACAAGATGGCAAACGCTTCAAGCTTAGCCACAGGGCACAGGGCACTGGGGTAGGAGAGGGACAGAGCCCAGCCCGAGGGAGCATCCGGCAGCTCTGAGCAGAGGATCTGTGAAGGGGAACCTGCAGGCGGAGAGCCAGCCAGGCGCAATGGGCAGCAGTGAGGAGCTGGGGCTGAAGCTCCTAAGCACACGCTATGCCTGTGCTGGGCACTGGTTCAGGGGGTGCCCAGTGCAACAGCAAGCCTGCCGCTAGTGGTCCCCCATGCCTGATTCCAGTGCGGAAGCCAAAGTAGGGCATGAGTAAAGGGGCACAAAACATGCCAGCCTGCGGGGTAGCCAGCTCTCCCTGGACGCCAGGCTAGGCTGCACCAGGAAATCATCACGACCCTCGGGGGACCCCGATTCTCAGGCACAGGCTACAGCCCCCCCCCACCTTGCCGCTTAGTGGCTTGGGCTCACAACAAGGCTGCAGTGAGGTGATCCAGGAGACTGGGAGGAGCCCCGTGCCCCTACTCTGCCTGTTCCCAGAGGTTCAGGGGCCAGGGGCTGTACAAGTCCAGCCCACACCCTCTTTCTAGAGAAAGTTCCCAAAGATGTGGCCTCATTTCTCCTCTTTCTGCTCTGTCCTGCTTGGCCCCCCTGCTCCTGACCTAGACCAAGAAGCTCTCCATAGCTCACTGCTGTTTCCTCCTCACAGCCCACAGCATCGAAGGCTGCAATTAGGACTTGCAGACTGTTGGGAGCCGCGGCCGACACCGGTCGCCTTACTTGGCGGACGTAGGGCCTGTGGGTGGGAGCGGAGCCTGAGCTAGATTGCCCCTCCCATTGAGTGAGCCAAGTTGGCGCCTGCTTCCTGCCCCCTGATTGCGCTGGCAACGTAAACAACCCGCTCTGTAAGATAGTCTGCCTAGCAACAACTGATGTTAGCCAATCAGCCCGCATCGGGCGCTTTGAACTGATTGGCCACTGTTGCCCTATAAAAGTGAATGCCTCTCCCGCCACGAGGGGAAGCACAGAGAGAGATAGAGAAAGTCCACCGGCGAGAAAGGGCTGGTGGCAGAGAGGAGGCCTCGCGGGGCCCACGCGGAGATAAATAAAGGCAAGATTGCACACCGCCAGACTTTGTCGTGTGTCTTTCCTGCCGGCCGGGAGCGACCTCGACATCTGGTGGCCCCCGTACGGGGAATAAAAGACTCAGCGACGTGCCTCTTCGGCCGGGAGGTGCGATTGCTGTCGCCTGCGGTACGACGGAGGACCTGGCCCAATAACAACGGAAGGCATCGAGCACCTCTTCTCTTCACCCTGATCAGCTGCGTGAGATACAGCGGTTCCCGGGACAGGTGAGTACTGGGTCACCTGGGTTGGGTGGACGCACCTAACAGATTTTGAGCGCCACACGAGTGGACGCTGGGTTTTTTTTTTCTTTTCTTTTCCCTTTGCATCTGTTTTGCTTTCGCTTCGCTAATACAGCCCGACAGGCTTTTGATAGAGCTTGATCGGAATGCTCAGAGGAGCCCGGAGCCACTGCCGATTGTGGGTCTCCGGAGGACCCTCAGGGCTCTAATTCTGATTCTGATTCGGAAGGTTCAGAAGAGGAGGTTGTCTTCGCTAAACAGGACCCTCCTGCACAGCTTAAAGAGGAATTTAGGGCTCGGGAAGATAAAAAGGGGAACCAAACACCACCCTGCCCGAGCTACTCCGCCTTACGGGAAGAGCTTAAGCCCTTCCGCCCTTTGGCAAGTTCTCGACCCATGGTCGCCCCCTTCAGGGCTCCAGGCCCTACTGCACCGCCGTGGCCGGAAGAGGAGTTGCTCCCTGGGCTGCCACCACAACCTATGGCACCGCCCTGGTTAGAGGGAGAGCTACTTCCTGGGTTGCCTTCTGCGCCCCCATCTGGGGAGGGAGGAGGACGTTCCTTCTACCAGAGGGTATGGTCGCGGCTTCCCTTTGAGTGTTCCGGTCTCCATGCATTCCCGGTACAAGTAGGAGGCAGGGGAGGAGGAGGATATTATGAGCCCTTAGAAATTAAACAACTTAAAACTATCAAGGACGCAGTTTCAGCTTATGGGCCCAATGCGCCATTTACCATGGCGCTTTTAGAGGCATTGGCAGGTCTGCTTTTAACTCCTGGAGATTGGACCCAGCTGGCACGCGCCTGCCTCTCCCCTGGACAATATTTAGATTGGAAGTCCTGGAATGAGGAATTCTGTGTAGAGCAGGCGGCAGCCAACAGGGAAAATAACCAGAGAGAGTGGAACAGGGATATGCTATTAGGGCGAGGAGCCTTTGAGGAAGATCAAACTCAATACCCTCGCCAGGTTTATGAACAAATTAGCCGCTGTGGCCTCCAGGCCTGGAGACGGCTGGCTGGAAAGGGAGAACATACGGGTCACCTTACAAAAATTATACAAGGGCAGGGAGAGCCATTTTCAGACTTTGTGGCCCGCATGCTTGAGGCCGCTAACAGGATTTTTCCAGATGCTGAGGCGGCTCACCCTCTCATAAAACAATTGATTTTTGAACAGTGCACTAAGGAGTGCCGTGATGTCCTAAGAACTAACAAAAATAGGTCCTTAAGAGTGGACACGCCTGTGCCGTGAATTGGGTGGCCACGGCCTAACGCCCAAAGGAAGAATATCATTGGCACTCTTTACCATAAATTTTTTAAACCTTAATCATAATAATCATTCCCCTGCCATGGAGCACAATAACCCGTCCCCGACCGACAAAGGGCTGGTGAGATGGAAAGATGTCCTTACAGGACAATGGATGGGCCCGGATCCAGTGATTAGCTGGACCCGAGGTGCGGTTTGTGTCTTCCCACAGGAACCAGGCTGCGAACCGCTGTGGGTCCCGGAAAGATTGACGTGAGCAGTAAACTCCCCACCAGTTCCTGATAAAGCACAGGAGGATAAGCCCGCGGACACAAGTCAACTCGACCCTTCTGGGACCGACGCTCAGCGCTCGAGACCATCTACAAACTAAAATGTCTGGTTTGGAGCTTTTTCTATTCTGTGGGTTCCTATTAATCACCCCTGTGATATGCTCAGATTCCACAGAACCACCACAATATCTTTGGGGTCCTTGGCACCACCCGCCCACATTGGCACCTTTTTCGGCGGCCTCGCCCGCCTCACCCAGGGTTTACACCATCAATCAAACAGTCCTTGATTATCCTAGTAGGGCTTGTGGTTATTAAATGCTTGTTAGATCGCCTCATACAAACTCAGCAGCAGGTTAAGATCACAGCTATGGCAGCCATGCAAATGGCAGCAGGTGGCCCAGCAGGCCGCCGCATATCTCCTTCACATTGCAGAACATCAGCTATAAGAGCTGAGTGGGCAAGCCAATGACGGGTAAGATGGGAAAAGCCCTCCCGGTCAACCTAAGACAGGCTCCACTCAGATATACATGGCCTATAAGGCCAGGGGTCCCTTCTGGAGTCAAATTATTGGCATTGAGATGCGAGACCAAGGGTACTGCAGTGCCATCCGCCCCAAAGGTTGGGGGGAAGGCAGGAATGAATGTCTATATGCATCCAGGTTTGGTTCGCATATGCCTGGCCCTGCGAAAAAATGAACCACTCACCTTGAGCATGGTCCTGGCGCAAGGATATGCACAAAACAGGGTGATGCACAGCAGGGTATAGACCTCTACATTCTCTCATGCCTCGGCCTACAAGGTAGGCCCACTCCTAGGTGTCTAACAGCAACAAGGTCATAGACACCTTGGAGGGACCCACAGACCATCCTATTTTAATAAATAAAAAAGGGGGAGATGTGGGAAGCCGCCTATGAATGGCGCCCATTTCCTGCTTCCGGGTTCTTCCTGGCCTGAACAAGCCCGCCAAATTGTCAGGTCTGCCCAGTTACCCGTGACGCTAGCCTATCAGCTTGTTAGGCGCGCTTCTCTGTGATTGGATACTGCTTCCCCTTATAAGAGGTTGTTCCTGCCCCCAACGGGCGGAAGAGGAACCAATGTTGAGGGTGGCGGACCTTGTTAGGTCCGGTTCGCTGTACGCAATAAAGTTTGAGAGCTGATCCTGCTCGAGTTTGGTCTCCTGTCTCCCGCGGCTCCGGTCATTTGGTGGCCCGCACGGGGACTGATCAACCCCGAGACACGGCGGTGGTGTGCAACGCTCCAGCGTGGTGCTGCCGGACAGGTGAGTTGGGGATAAGCCTGGGCTCTGGGTGGCGCGCACCTACAGGGCTTTTAGACTCCCCTCAGGCTCACGCGTAGGTGACGGGTTCTTTAAGTCACACGCGGTGAGTAACAGCCCTTAGAGGTTAAAAATGGGTAATTTACCGAGCGCAGAGGCGCGGCCCTTGGTAAAGGCCCTTAGGAAGCTTTTAAAAGCTAGAGACCTCAGGGTAGGTCAAAAAACACTGGAACTATTCATAACAGAGGTAGATAGGGTGGCTCCCTGGTTTTTACCCACGGGGCATTTAAACCTGCCGTCATGGGAGAAGTTAGGCGGGGACCTCGCCTCGGCGGAATTGGGAGGGGATATTTCGCCGGCTATTCGCCCCCTGTGGGAAATGATACATGCGTGCCTTGACTCCTATGCCGAGTTGCGCCGCGAATTGTGTGCGTGCGCCGCCCGAAAAAAGCAGAGAGAGGAAAAAGGGCCCCCGAGCGCTCTCTGGCGGGGAGGAGATAAAGAGCCATCCGCTCCGCCCTGGAGCTCTTCTCCAGAAGCGGCTCCCCGCCGAGAGGCTGCTACAGGGAACCCTCCCTTCTCTCAGCCGGCACAGGAAGTGACGCCCCGTTCCACTCTGTCGCGACCGCCGTCCTATGACGTTGCGCCGTGGGGCGGACGGTATTTTCATGGGCGGCTACTCTGCCGAGCAGGCTGAGAAAAACGCCGGTTGAGGAAACGGGGGCTGGGGATTTAGCTCAGCGGCATAAGCGCCTGCCTTGTAAGCAGGCAATCGCGAGTTCGATCCCTGGTACCGATAAAAAAAAAAAAAACGAAAAAGACCAAAAATAAAAAAAAATAAAAAATAAAAAATAAAAAGGGGGAGTAAGCCAAGGCCTGCCTCCAAAGGCGCGGTTATCTATGGCATGACAATGGATGGGCCCGGATCCGGTGGTTAGCTGGAACCGAGGCGCGGTTTGTGTTTTTCCGCAGGAACCGAGACGAAAACCACTGTGGGTCCCAGAGAGGTTGACGCGACAAGTCCCTCGACTAAAGATCAGGCCTGTTCCACCAGAGGCCAACCGCAGACCCAACAACAAGATGAGCCCTAAAAGAACTGTAGGACAATCCCTTTTTGGGGGCCTGGAACGGCTTGCTCCCCTATGTGCTACCCTTGTTAGGCCCTCTATGCTCCTTGTTCTTGCTCCTGCTTATAGGACCATGCTTGCTCCGATGGGTCACATCATTTATTAATGGGCGCCTTGCGGCAGCCCGGCGTCAAGTACGCCTGGTTGCCCATGCGGCCCTGGCAGCAGCCCGTGATGGGCACAATGACCCCCAGGCCTACGCATGGCTCGCTCGACTGGCCTACGACCGGGTCTAGGTGTGGCGGGTCTTCTGCATTCCTTCCCTATTGACACCACACAGCAGGGTGGGTGAGTCAATGACGGGTAAGAGCGTGCCTCCCCAGCACGACTCGACCTAAGCCAGGCCCTACCCCATACTGCACGAAAGCCGCTGGATTACTAGAATCTGCCCAGATCTAGATGCCTCTCCGAGGGGATCACACGGAGGGGCATGAGTGCATGCCTATGTGCATCCAGGTTCCGTCCAGTTCACTCCTGGCCCTGGAAAAAGGACGAGGGTCTCAAGGCCTTGGCGGACCCGGGGGCGGCCGACCAGGGTCCAAGCCAAGGGCCTACGGTGGGCCTCAACACAGGGCATAAGCCTCTGCACTCAATCCAGGGCGGGCTGCGATGCATACATTCATTCAAAGTAAATAAATTAGGGGGAGATGTTGGGAGCCGCGGCCGACACCGGTCGCCTTACTTGGCGGACGTAGGGCCTGTGGGTGGGAGCGGAGCCTGAGCTAGATTGCCCCTCCCATTGAGTGAGCCAAGTTGGCGCCTGCTTCCTGCCCCCTGATTGCGCTGGCAACGTAAACAACCCGCTCTGTAAGATAGTCTGCCTAGCAACAACTGATGTTAGCCAATCAGCCCGCATCGGGCGCTTTGAACTGATTGGCCACTGTTGCCCTATAAAAGTGAATGCCTCTCCCGCCACGAGGGGAAGCACAGAGAGAGATAGAGAAAGTCCACCGGCGAGAAAGGGCTGGTGGCAGAGAGGAGGCCTTGCGGGGCCCACGCGGAGATAAATAAAGGCAAGATTGCACACCGCCAGACTTTGTCGTGTGTCTTTCCTGCCGGCCGGGAGCGACCTCGACAGCAGACAGACAGGCAGCGTAAGAGACGGTGCTTCCCCCACAGTGCTCCAGCATCTTCCGCTCAGGTGACAAGTTGCCAAGCACCTGCCCGGGGTGCTCTCTGGTCAACTGCTAGCATCTATCTCCCAGCTGGTCCTCGGGCCTCTGAGAGGGATTGGCCCGGGTGTCTATGCAGTGGGCAGTGGGGGCTCAAGGGCCATTGGTCAGAACCAGGAGAGTAAAGCTAGGCCAGAGCTCAGTTAGGGGCTGGGCAGTGGCACTGAGGCTAAACGGGGTAGCTGCGTTCATCAGTGAAAATTTGGAAAGTTCTTTTAGGCTTAAAGACTCAAATATCAAGCTGGGTTCCCAGCACGATGGGCATCAGCATTTCTGGGGAGGATGACAGGGATGTGGCCTCCACGAGTGTCACAGTGAAAGAGCGCACAGACCCAGGCACCACTGGCTCGACCGACATCCAATTCCCTCTGCCTCAACAGCCCAGGGCACTCATGTGTCAGGAAGCAGGGTCCACAGCAGCCCACGGCACTGGCAGGGTTGTAGTCAAGAAGCCCAGTTAAGGACTGGGGTAAGCGGGCCAGGAGAAAGGGCAGTACAGCATCCATCCTCAGGAGTTGAGGCCCTTGAAGGCTCTTGCTTACTGGCTGGGTGGCCTTCTACCTGGAGATGCTGTGATCTGGAGATCTACCCCTGAGAGGCTCGGGGAGGGGCAGTGTATGGAGAGCCTGGTACAAGCCTGGTGTCACCTGCCTCACAGGGCACGAGATTCCAGGAGGCTGAGGATGGGAGAAAGCCAGAGTGCCCTGAACTATGAGGTGACAGAGCGAGAAGGGCCTGAGGCTGGATCCCAAACAAAGGGGAAGAGAGCCACCACATGGAATTCCTGCAGGACAGGACCGAGTCCTCCTGAGCTGCTCTGACCCCCAAGACCCTTCCCAGCCACACCACGCCGCCTCTCTCTGGTTGACCAAAGCACACTCGCCTTACTGCTGCTTTGTTCCAGCTCAGCCTTGTGTTCCCACCTGTGCCTCTTCCCAGCGGCACAGGAAAGCAGCAAGCTCCTTCCACCCACTTAAGGAAACTGCTACCCACTGCCTCCTTCCTCTTCTGGTCAAAGCCTGCACCCTGCAAAAAGCAGCTCGTGCCTTCTGCAAGAGCGGCACTGTTTTCCTCTGAGCAGCCTGGCCGTTTCTAACTCCTCAGCCATCCTTACCGCCAGGAACCCGCCAGCACGTCCACCCACCACAGGTTTCCGCGTGGAAACAGCCGGGCTTAAGGAAGCACACAGGTTCCATGACTACCAAGCAGTCCAGCACTTCTCAGCGACCACAGATAGCTCTCTCTGAGGCCATGGGGAGCCTGCAGCACCCGCACACCTTAGAGCTCCCCCTGCCTTTGCCTTCTCACTGCCAAGGACCATTTGTTGAATGAATCTTCACGGGAAGATGTCCATGGGAACCGCTACATTTTCTGAACGTCTCTGCTCTTACTAACTTGTGAATGAGGCAGAGGCCGTTGCTGCAGCAGAGCGCTCCCCAGCACAGCCTGCTCACCACACCTGCCTGGCTCCAGTCGCGCCTCCCTCTGTCCATGGCCTCAGGCCGCCCGCCCGTGAAGGGGCTCCCGGACCTCATGGCGGGACAGCCAGGACGTTCCTGGGTTATTCGTTCCTCTTGCACAACAGCTATGGCAATGCCTAAGGGAAGTGGTTCAGCCAAAACTAATGGAGTGCGACCTCCATTACAGTCTTAAAACAACTACTGCAACTTTAAAATCTGACTCTAAGAAGTAGGATTATGGATTTTTATTTCCTTTATACATTTGGGCGTGACAATTAGTATGCATACTATTATAATCAGAAAAAAGTCCGTGTTAACAAACTCAAGACCGCATCTTATTTGCCTAAAACTAATGCACTTACGTGATTTGTCAAATGACACAGTCACCCACAACCCACATTTTAAAGGGTATTCACTATTTCCATGGCATTTTATGGACAACACATGGAGTGAAGCCCTCACCAAAACTTATTGTAGGCATCAGTTTTGATTTCCACCTTTTTAAAAGCGTGAAATACGGTCATCCAATCCTCAAGGCGTTTTAACTTTTTGTTTTTAATGAAACCAGCAAATGTAACACCCTCATGTGACATGCAGGCATGGCACACACACCCCCCCCCCACTTCCCCACCTCTAATGTATCTTTCTTAAATATTTCTATTTGCTTGACTTTTGAATGGTTTAAAATTTTTAGCATTTTTTTTGAGACTTCTGATTTTTGGGGGTTAAAAACATTTTCAAGCTGCAAAATCGTAAAAAAGGAAAAGTTAAAAGAGAAACACAAGAGAAACCATCCTAACCAACATGTAAAATTATATTTTTAAAAATCCAAGTTTTGGGGCTGGGGATTTAGCTCAGCGGCATAAGCGCCTGCCTTGCAAGCAGGCAGTCGTGAGTTCGATCCCTGGTACAAAAAAAAAAAAAAAAAAAAAAAAAAAAACAAACAAAAAAAAAATCCAAGTTTTAAAATCGATTGCTGGGCCAGGTGTGGTGGCACACACCTGTAATCTCAGCACTCAGAGGGATGAAGCAAGAAGGACATTGCAAGCTTGAGAGCAGCTACAAAGTAAGCTCAAGGCCAGCCTGAAGTACATAGTAAGACCCTGTCTCACAAAATTAATTGGGCCGGGGATTTAGCTCAGTGGTGTAAGTGCCTGCTTGGCAAACTTGAGGTTGTGAGTTCAATCCCCGGCACCAAGAAAAAAAAGATTATACAAAAAATCGACTGCAAAGTAAATTGGGCAAGGCAGTTCTCCCCCAAAACAGCCAGGGTCCAAACCCCGTAGTAACCATAAACACGGTCCTGGAGTCTCCCTGAAGGCCATCTGCACACTCACTATGGGCCTTTGCAAATCTCTCCTGCTCTCCACCTCTGGCATTCAGGTCCTAGGTCTTCCAAACAGTGAGAAGCGTAGGCAAAGACCCCATGACCCCGGCCTTCCCACCCAGTGTGATCTCCACACAGGCAAAGGTGAGAGGCAACACCAGTGGGAAAACTTAGGGCCATGATTCAGGATAAAATCTTATTAAGAGGAAAACAGAAACATGTTAAGATTTTGAGCAAGTACTCTGCTAAACTAGACCTGGCATCTCATCTCTAAGTGGCAAGGCCATTGACTTTCCAGGAAGCTTCCAGCCCAAGTCACTGCATGAACCCCTGAGGCTGGCCTGACTCTACCCTCCCAACTCCAGTCTGGTCCAAATTTCATCAGGGGAAGGCAGCTTCGACAGTCAGCGGGGCGTGGCTTATCAGCAGCTCCCTCTCCCACTACAGCCTGCTTTTGTGCCTGCCCTTAGACAAGTTCAAATCAGGATTATCCCAGGGCTTTAGATAATGAGGATTCTCGACAGGGATAGAGCTCACTGGCACAGTGCCTGCCTGGCAAGCACAAGGTCCTGAGTTCAATTCCTGGTACCAAAAATAATTAAAAAATGATTCTCTAAAACACACCCTATCTACAAGTACTTCCTCATCCACACAGAGTCCCAATAACAGACATCTGTAAATAAAGCCCTATACCTGGCAGGCATGAGATTGTGGGTTCAATCTCCAGTACCAAAAAAAAAAAAAAAAAAAAAAGCAGCTCTGTACCACTCAGAAACTACAGGGCAAATGTTAAACAGCTTGCCCATGGTCACCAGCCTAAGTAAAGAGGATGGGATTTGTCCCCGAAAGCCAGGGCTGCTGCTTCAAATCGCTGGACTAGGCAGTTAGCACTTATCAAATATAGTGGTGCTGTATCAAATACAGAGGTTTATGGACTTGTCTTATGATCTGGGGGGAAGATGGGTGTGTTTCTATTCATGTGGGAAAGACAGCGGCCGTGGTCATGTTGGCCACCAATGCAGCGTCTGCAAACTGAAGTGAAACTGTACTGAATGCTTGTTTGCCAACAGAGGTGTTCGTGAACGGAGGTGTTACTGTATTACACAGCCTAGTGGTGGTTTCAAAGTACAAACTCAAGACTTTGTAAAAACTGGAGCACAACTGAAGCGAAAAGGTCAAAGCTTGGCAATACTGAACTTAAAAATCAGAAGAAATTATTTCAGTACTCACATCCCAGAGCAGTATAATCCAGCTAGTGAGAAACACA